AATGTCGTTTTGTTTGAACGTGTTCATTTGCATTTGCAGTGTCGAGTTTTCTCTGACTGATCTTCGTTCTTTTTAAGTCAGTATTCTTGTTCTTTTTAATCTTCATAATAATGGGAAACCTGAGGTCGCTGTCAGAAGTGAGCTAGTTCTTGGATGAAGGAAGCTTTGTCTGTCACTGAAAGCAAGAACGACTTAACATTGCTACAAGAACGACTTATTTACGCCTGTTGCAAAAATAATGCTGGAAACATGGTCCGAGTTTATTGACATCAACGAGAATTTTAGCGATAATTCGGTTAAAAGTTCCGTAACATTCATATATCGTAAATATCGAAGTCGTCAGGTTATAAGCAAGCCTGTATTATTCATTATATTTTGTTAGAAATATCGATCTTGGTGTATCGTCGAAATTCGATATTTGCAGTTCTTCATGTCCGTCATGTTTTGATAACAACACATACGTAACTATTCGTAGTAATAATTTGTTTACGCCGTTTTAACGTCTCACTCTATTTATTAATGGTGGGAAAAAGGACGCTTTGGTAGGTCGAATTATGCTCAAAACAAATGTCAAATCAGACCTTTTATAGTAAAAAAAATAGTTTTGAATGTGAGCTGAACTTGCGAGACGGAGACAATAACATTGGACGTAAGCCACTGATACATTCAACGATGGCTGACCATTTGCCTGTTGTTGTGTTCTGCAACTGCCTAATCTTACGATTTATTTGAATCACATTACGTAAATCTGATTTGTGAAAACACAGAGGTATCTTGATGGAAGGATCTTATCACTTTAAATTTCTTGGGAAGTTTAGACTGGTCCATCGTCATTTCCTCTTTCAGTGATTTTAGCAGCCGACGCTAACAATTATTTAAAAGTTTAATTTTCGGTTTTTTTTTTATGATTTGTGTAAGTGGTAGAACACCATAAATTACATTTACGAAAACAAATGAACGTGTATGGTAGACAGTTTGAATTCTGGGATATAAAAATCGGCAAATGAAGACAAAAATGTAAAGATTTTGCATTTGCAGAGTAACGAATTAGGTTTACCATACATTTGACGACTTCGTGAAGAAATGAAATTAAAATATGGAAGAATGTTCAAGTGAGATTTCAGGTTTTTACGGCGTACAAACCCAGAAGACAACGATCTTAATATAATTCTCTGTCTGGACTCTTTCCATCATCCTTGTTTAAAATAAATGAAAACCGCGAAGTTTCGGAAACTGGCTCTGTCTTCATGCGAGAGGTACCTACTCAGTTGGGTCCGTCAGATAGAGTTAGTCTCCGTCACTGGACGATGGAAAAAGTCCAGACAAAGAATATTTATCCACCATTGTCTGAACCCTTTAGAAATGAACGATCTTAATGTTCAAATTTAATAGACCTTGCGCTATGAATGTGAACTGTCTCAAAAGTTTGTATAGAAATCTCAGGCTGTATCCAGGAACGTCAAAGTTCTTACACAAGAATCCTTCCGTGGGTGTGGATTTTGTATGTTTGGATTAGGCACTGCACTAGTCAGTTCTTACTGAGCTGCCGGCAAATCTGTAACTAATGTCTTTCAGTTTTACTTAGCGTTCACCTAACCTAACCTCAAGACCATCAGTTTCTTTCTTATTCTCTTAAAAATAAAATTTAAAAACCTGAACACTTCTTGTTGATTTATAACCCGAGGCTCAAGCCAGAGTGATCTTATTCAACGTGCGAATAAAAGGTAGAGGTAAGATTTGAGGTTTTCGATGTTTACCAACGTTTCGGAGGTCATACTGCCTCCATCATCAGGGCTATGAAGATTTCTGTCTTCTGGGTTGTTGCGCTTTGTAGTCTGGTCGATGTTTACCAACGTTTCGGAGGTCATACTGCCTCCATCATCAGGGCGATGAGAATGAAGATTTCTGTCTTCTGGGTTGTTGCACCGTGTAGTATGGTAGATGTTTACCAACGTTTCGGAGGTCATACTGCCTCCATCATCAGGGCGATGAGAATGAAGATTTCTGTCTTCTGGGTTGTTGCACCGTGTAGTATGGTAGATGTTTACCAACGTTTCGGAGGTCATACTGTCTCTGTCATCAGGGGGAGCTATTTGCGATGCATTTTGTACACTAACCGAACCTTCCCAACTTTCATTCCTATTAAAGAACTTTAGAGGGGACAGAGTTCTGTATTAAGATCTAGAATCGTCTCTGATTTGTAGCAGCTTTTCTTTTTTACGTAGAGTAAATGAGCAACCATACTTTTTCTGCCAGGTGCTGGCTTTGAATTAATTATTTTGGCGCTTGAACCGTAGTTATGTGTTTCTGTAAATTGAATTACGTGACTTGTCTCATCCTTTGGCTCTTATTCAAAAGATCTTCTGTGACTTTTCTCTGTTCTTACCGCAGTGCCTTCCCTTTAGGCACTGGTTAGACGCCATTTTAACAGTTGCAGTTTTATGATAATTTTTGTAAGTAATAGTATGTCTGCTTTGTGGATTATTGTTTTAAAGTTTTGTTGAGCTTACGCAGTAGGAAGAATAACAGTAAACCGATATATTTCCTAGCTTTAGGCGAGGTGGAACTGAAACACGGTGCAATTTTTATATGAAGGCCGAACATATGCGTTACTGGATGGAACGCTATAATCACTTAGGGTGAGGCTGTGTACAACTGCGGAACAGTTTGGTTTGAGATCACGATGGAATGCGATGGAGCGAGTGCAGTAGCCTGCCCTGCCCGCAGGATGTGTTGGGGGTGAACAAATTTGCTACTTTTGAAATAATGACGGCGACCTTACTGAGGAAATTAAAATATATTAGGTAAAAGACAACAGATAAGATTTTGTTTTCACAGGTAATGACAATAAATGTTTCTGTAAAATCAGTTTTCCTTGTAACCAGTCACCTCACCACGAAGAAGGTGTCTAGGGACCCGGAGACTAAGCTCCACACATGATAATGTCTCGGGAGATGAGTGATCAGCTAGACGCTTTAATGCAAAGTGGATTAAAGAACTGTTACCCAGTGATGATGACTTAAAGACAACTCTGCAAAGTCTGAATCTCACATTAAGTCGTTCCTAATGCGTGGTCCGAGCAGCGGCCTCTTGCCACAGTCTGCGAGAAAAACAGTGGTTGGACAGAAGGCTACCGCAGGGCGCATTCTCGTGTTGTTTCAGTAAACAAACCGCAGCCAGTTCGATCTTTGAGAATCGATTTCTATCGACCATAGAGATACATGAAGTTATGTCACGCCTCTACTGTGATTCATGCTGTACGTACCGAAGAACCTGCTTCTGGCAACCTAAGCATTTACCTTGGGACTTGGAATAAAGATATGTTACCGTGTATAAACTGCGTGTTTCTTCATGCCTGCTTTTATGTTATCGATTGTGATCCTCGGCTGTAGCACCATGTGGATAATTACTAACATTTAGGAATGCTGTGCGACGTAGTGTAATAGAAGTTTACAGAAGTTTCATAGGTGATTTCTGCCTCCATCATCTTGGTGGTTTATTATAAATATTATATGCAACATAAATGTTAATTTGTTCCTCTGCAGGGCTTGGACGCAAGCGGGAAACCTTCACTCACGTTCTATTTTCGTGTCCAGTTCTACGTGGACAGCCCTTTATTACTCAGGTGAGGATATCACGTGACTATTTATGATGACTGGGCTGAGTGGTTAATACGCCCCAACGTTAATTGTTTGGTGTGTCTAATTTGAAGACCAGAGGTATAGAGACTGATTGATTGGTTCAGTGTTTAGATGAGCACTGTAATGATGTTTGGCTACAGTGCAGAATATCAATATTATAACATAAAAGTTTTAACTGGAATGTTAAGTTGTGCTTCAGACTGTCATAGACGTACGTATTTAATTTAATTTCTTCAGGACTTTTATAAATCTACCTCACTGTACCTGTAAAATATAAGATAAGACACCCAGACACCCTTTACATGTACTATATTATTTTGTATGCTCAGAATACTAGTAGTGAAATTAAAATGCTGTGAAACCCAATTAAGAAGTCACATGACAGTTCTGAGGTACTATAGTAACAACATGCTGTTGTAGTGTTATGTAGTAAAACGTTTCTTCTGTATTCCTTCAGTTTAGTGGTCTGGCAGCGCACTACTAGCCCGACAAGAGCATTCACCACTTACTAGTACATACTGAAGGTGGATTTTTTTATCTCTCAAACCCTCGACTGACACTAACCCCCAGTTTCTTTGTTGGTTTAGTCTGTTCACTCACAAACGTTTACGTGTATGCCTCTTTTAATTGTTCAAAGTGTGTATGTGATGGTGAGGTTCGTATTACACCAGGGAGAGACACATCATACACCCACTAAGAGCTTTACTGCCAACAGTTGGTAAGCATGGTGTTTAGTAAGGGCCCCAAGGGCACAGTCTTTGGTGATAAAGACCTATAGGCTGCATTTTAACCAAGATGGAAGTAATTTTCCTAAAAATTCGATGCGTTTTTACGCAGGTAGTATGGATTTTAAAGGACACACACATGTGATTTATGCCACTTTATCCATAAACGAAGTATTTTTTATTATTCGTACTAACTCAATGACTGTAAAATAGGAGTGACAGTGAAATGTTATGAATTTATTTTATTCAGGGACGAAGTTACGAGGCACCACTACTATCTTCAGTTGCGTTGCAATGTGCAGTCGAGGGGGTTACTTCACTCAAACTCATCAGAGGAAGTGTTGTACCTTCTGGCAGGGTACGCACTTCAAGCCGATCTGGGCGACTACTTGGAGGAGACACACGCTGAAACTTACTTCAAGCCTGAAGAGTATTTTCCCCAAGAAGTAAGTACTATGGCTTATTTTAAGAAGTTTGTTTGCGTGTATTTTTTGGTGGAAGAGAAGGTTGTCAGAACAATTTTGAGCAAATATTTGAATGCAGAGAGTTGTTCTTTGTTATGAAAATAATTGGAAATGTTAATGGCGTACATGATTGATATTCAGATGGTGTCTGGGAACCAGCAGTTAGTGCAGACGCTTTCGGCATTGCACAGGGAGAACCACGGACTCAATAAATCGGAAGCCGAACTGCAGTACATCCGAGAGGCATCTTCTGCAGAAGTGTCTCCTCTTACCCACAATGCTCATCTGTATAGGCTCAAACACAAGAAGCAGGAGGTTGGCCATGGCTCCGTGTGGCTCGCCATCTGCGCCAAGGGCATTGAGATATATGAAGTATGTATGACGGAAGTTTGCCAGGAATTGTCATTACTGTCTCCAATTTTGGTAGATTGCCTCTTTATAAGTGATACAGTAAATTCAGAGCACTGTCCAGACATACTTAGAACGCAGTTCTCTAAATTAGCACGATTCTCAAACTGAAGTGCGTTAAAGTGCTAGGATTTTGCAGTTTGATTTTTGTAATTCTGGATTTCATTACAAATGTTGACCTAATCTAAAATGTAGTTTTTCTAAATCTTAATCAAGCTAAATTCTTTATATGAGTTTTTCTGAAAAATATTTTATCCATTTTTCTTCTGTTCTGTGCCTGATACATGCTCCACGTTCACTATGCATACATTTCCTGACTTGTTATCCATAATGGCACTCCATTTACTTTTAATACATCATAAATGCTCATTATGTTAATGTAAGTAATGTGTGGCACTTGCAACTTTTTTCTACTCTGGCGATTCCTGATGTTTTCTTGAGACGAGTCTGTTGTGGTCTGTCTCCGAACTAATCCGATTCGTAATGTTTATTCTTGTGTTCCAGGAAAATTCTGCGAAGTCATTAACAGGTTTCCTGTGGACTAATATCGGCAAGCTATGTTTCGATGTAAGTAATTTTAGTTTAATATTGGCATAGTAATTAGTATAATGAAGCAAACAAAATTTGTATTCAATAAAGTTTGGTGAAAATACGATCGTGTGCTCTTGTGACTGGCCACGAAAATCACAAAGTGTCTCTGTGTGTTTCTGGTGATGAAACATGCATTATATTTGTTTTGGAAATCTTTGGAGCAAGAATCACTTTATTTTGTTATAAAAGTCGTGAAATGGACGTAGTACAGGATCAAAGGGAGATGTCGTAGCTGTTGGGTGTTTATAATCTGTGAGTGGCTGAACTTTTGTTCAGTTTAGGCAGATGGCTGAGCATGTACAAGAGCAATTTTAAATTCATATTCGGGGTAAGAACTGGGGGGGGAAAGAAAAAAAAACAGTTAAGATTACTTGTTTTCAATTGGGATTTGGAATCAGGTGCCTTCAAAGTGTGTCAGATGCATTACCAATATTTTAACTTATTCCGTCTTTGGGGAAGTAATAAGCAAACTTCTGAGTATGAGTACTTGAGCCGTATTGGGATTGTGATTGATTTTGTGTGCTGGAACCCAGAGGTCATCCTTGTCAAACCTAATGATATAACAGAACTTTTCTTTTACTGTAATAAATTTCTTGAAGATTTCTGTCTTCTGGGATGTTGTGCCATGTAGTCTGGCAGATTTCCACCATCGACCAGACTACTCTTCCATCCTTTTGTGTCTCCGAACTAATCCGATTCGTAATGTTTATTCTTGTGTTCCAGGAAAATTCTGCGAAGTCATTAACAGGTTTCCTGTGGACTAATATCGGCAAGCTATGTTTCGATGTAAGTAATTTTAGTTTAATATTGGCATAGTAATTAGTATAATGAAGCAAACAAAATTTGTATTCAATAAAGTTTGGTGAAAATACGATCGTGTGCTCTTGTGACTGGCCACGAAAATCACAAAGTGTCTCTGTGTGTTTCTGGTGATGAAACATGCATTATATTTGTTTTGGAAATCTTTGGAGCAAGAATCACTTTATTTTGTTATAAAAGTCGTGAAATGGACGTAGTACAGGATCAAAGGGAGATGTCGTAGCTGTTGGGTGTTTATAATCTGTGAGTGGCTGAACTTTTGTTCAGTTTAGGCAGATGGCTGAGCATGTACAAGAGCAATTTTAAATTCATATTCGGGGTAAGAACTGGGGGGGGAAAGAAAAAAAAACAGTTAAGATTACTTGTTTTCAATTGGGATTTGGAATCAGGTGCCTTCAAAGTGTGTCAGATGCATTACCAATATTTTAACTTATTCCGTCTTTGGGGAAGTAATAAGCAAACTTCTGAGTACGAGTACATGAGCTGTATTGGGATTGTGATTGATTTTGTGTGCTGGAACCCAGAGGTCATCCTTGTCAAACCTAATGATATAACAGAACTTTTCTTTTACTGTAATAAATTTCTTGAAGATTTCTGTCTTCTGGGATGTTGTGCCATGTAGTCTGGCAGATTTCCACCATCGACCAGACTACTCTTCCATCCTTTTGTCTGTTAAGTCCGTCTGTCCGAGGCTTTGATTGAGGTTTCGAAACATATTCCTTTTCACAGTGCAAGGTTGTTAGCCTTGCGACCAACCCCCAACCTGGAGGACCAGGGTACCTGTCTTAGTCTGACCTCTCACCCTCGACCAATCTGGCTAGGGAGGCCCTACCAGTAGCTCTTGGGGTCACTGAGGTACTAAAGCCCCACCACCACGACAAGGTGCACGTACCATTAAGTGGGGACCTCAAATCTTACACAATAAATTTCTTCTTGAAGGCTAATCTTCGAAAAGATTGTGGTTTGCCTCCTCCTGCAGTAGAAGCATCTTATCTGCAGCCTTTCAATTGTACTGTGGCTAACCTAACCATTTCCCCGCGTGTCCTGTGTCATTTATCTCAGCGCCTCATGTACCAGTGACAAGTAAGCAGGTTCACAGCCTTGAGATTGCAGATCTGTTTTGTCTGTGTCATGAGATATATTGAGGTATATTATGTCATGGCATCTGAACATAACGGTGTGTACCAGTCGATGTTTCATGTAGTACCTATTACATTTTTACGTTCTGTATCAGTGAATATCTTTTTAACTATTATAAATGAATGTAATATAACTGTTGCTGGTGGAAAATTGATCATAATATTTATAATCAAGATTCAGAATGAATCATTATAGTGTTTACTCTTCATAACTTTGTCACTTAGATCTTTGTTCGACAGAACTTTTTGACTGATGGTAACTGGAACTAATGGATTTTGTATTTTGACTGTTATAAACTCCGCAATGATATTTTTGAAGACTATATTGAAATGGTACCGTAATAAACAACTAATGTATGTTAAGTACAATGCATCTCCTGTTGTAGAGAAAGAAGTTTGAAATCCGAGCACTCAATTCGCCTGTGTCAGGCGAGAAATTCACCTACTACACCAACAGTGATGAGAAGAGCAAACACCTCCTCTTTTTATGCCGGGTCACACATCAGTTCAGTATGGCGATCCAGCCCCGCCTATCTGAAGTTCGGCATAGAGAGGAAGAAGGTAGTCTTAAACAGTTGATTAACGTGCAGAATGTTTCTAGAGGTCTTTAAGATCATACTTGTCTTCTGGGTTGTGGCCTCTTTTAGCCTGGTAAACTTCTAGCAGACTGCGTGGTGCTGCAACCCAGAAGACGGCCATCTTCATACTTACCGCCATGAACACCTCAAATCGTACTGATCTCTAAGATGTTCACTGTTAAACTTTGAAATAATGAACTTTACAGAACATCTGTACTTTTTTGTTTTGTTTGAATTTAACTTATTTTCATTTACGTCAAATTTAAATAACCTTGAACATTAGAATGATGAGTGTTTTTATTTATTTTGTTAGAACGGAAACGCTACCGTGACTGCTACATGTACTCTCGGAGTCTTGGTGCCGAATTTCCGTCACTGGCAAAACTCTCAGGAAATTACAAAGGACATCATAGTGACCAACGAATATCTGTTATCAGTAACACGTCATCTAACACCACTTCTGGCATCGTGTCTGACCGTGTTCAGAGCTTGGATGAAAGTGAAGATGACCTAGAAATTGAAATTATGATTAATTCACCTCCTGCTCCATCCGTTGAATCTCTAGCGCTGGCACATCTAAGGGACGCTTCAGATAATCTGCAGGCTAGAGATTCATCTGTTTCATCCTCACGCTCTAATTGCAATAAAGGTGAGTCACACAGCCTACAAAGATGTTCTTACAAGTTTTATTTTTAATTTTATGGAAGGACATTATTGGTAGGCTTGGTATTTTTTCTTTAGCCAACAAATTCTCATTGTCTTGGGCATGTTTAAGTAATATTTTTAGTTTTTTTCCTCTTTCCCCTTCGGAAATTAGCATATCAGCCATATAAGGATGTCAGTTCAGGCTCACAAATCATTCACTAATGATTTGTACCTTTAGAGTAAAACTGAGCCATAAATTAATTACCATCATACGTAATTTCTTAGTTTCTGTGTGTATGTAATATAATAATATATAATTATCATGAAGAATGTAATTTATGAGAAAAGTTTAGAAAATTTTCAAACTGGTTTGTCCGTTGTCCATTTATATACATAGAAGTTTGAAGATGTTTACCTATAATAATTTTTGTTTGTTAATTTAAAATATAACACATATCGTCTATCTTTTCATCAGACAGAGCTCTTGCGAGAAGTGTTATTCCTTTATACTATTTCAGATAATTTTTAATGTGTTCTGTATTGTGGTTAGAGCATGTTGTAATTGAATCAGGTGTTGGCGATGTGGAAAGTGCAACCCCGCCATTAGTGACTGGAATCACGGCACAAAAGCAGTCTCCAAGTGGAAGCACCGGTGTAGGTGGGGCAGCAACGCCAGCGACTACCGACGGTAGTCAGTGTTCCAGCTCATGTTCTACTGTTGTGGTTGCTGGTGCCACACTTGCTATTAGTAGTAGTGGTGGTGGTGGTGTCACAAGTAACGGCTCTGTAGATGTGAGACGTCGTACCAGCACCAGTAGTAGTCTTGAACTCGGTTACAGCCACACTGCACAGAACTCCGCAGTATCTGATTCGGCAAGCACCTGCCCAGAACTAGAACTGGATTATTCTGTGCAGAGTGCACACACAAGCAGTGGCATTTACACCCTTCGTAGCAGCTGTGGCACTACCGCGGACACTGTAGAAACCAATGCCTGCTCATCCGAGACAAGCGGTGTCTATGCTGTGTGCAGTACAAATAGTATATCCAATACCTCGGACAGTTGTCACTACACAGGAGGTGCTTATTCAGTCACGGGAACTTCACTAGACTCTAGTACTAGAGTAAGGGCAAGGAGTGATAGCATTGCGGGTTCTGTGGTCAGTGGGTCAGGAAGTTTCCGAGGCGACGGAAGCGATCCTTCAGAAGCAGGTCCAAGAAGTCCACTCACTGCTGAAGAGCTGTCAGACTTAATAGTTGGGAGAGGCAGTGGTAGTGCTAGTGGTCATACAAGTGGAGTGTATCCATTAAGAGCTACTGTAAGTGCCACGCTGGATTCTGATAGTGACTATGTAACGCTTCCACCTCCTCCTATTCCGCCCCCACGAACAGATAGTGATCAGAACTACTTACTTTTGGACACAGCTTCTGTGAAAACTGCTTGCACAGTTACAACCGCTGCTTTGGTATCGTCCGCACTCAGCATTGAAGATGAAGTAGAAGATGTGATCTCTCCACCTCCACCACCCCCATACACTCCACAACCTCTTTCCCAACAGAATTTACTTTCCCAACAGAAATCACTGGAACATATGCACTCTCAAAACTTGCATATTCTGCCTAAAGCAGAGCAGCCACTACTCTTACATCAAGCTATTTTGGCACAGCAGCAGCAGGAGTTGTTGAATCAGTCTGCACACCACGTTCTAGCTCAGCAGTCTGCGTGCCTACTAACACCTTCTCATCACCAATCATCTTTGATGAACCTCTCACTGCCTGTAGAAGAAGCCAATGCTCGGTTCATCACCACCAAACCTCACATCAACATTTTAACGGCACATACAAGCCTCGTAACATCCACGGCCGCACCGAGTTTTGCAGCGCCCACATTAGCATATCAGGTTACCAGCAATGGAAATATGGCAGCAGCAGATAGTCAGCAGTTGCGATTATATCCACCAGGGGATACCAGAACACATCCTCCTACTCATGTGAAAAGTGTTGGAAGTCTTCATGGGGTTCATGTTGTGCCCCAACACCAAGCTGACAGTGGATCATCATTTGTGAGTTACTCTGGCCGGCCAGACCCAGGCGCAAAGATGAAACCACGTCCTGTACAGACATTGGTACCAGTCATTGGGAAGAACAACTATCTAGATGTCCATGCATCTAGAACTAATGCTAGTGCACAATCAACAGCTGCATTCCTACGGTCTACAGTTGCTATGTCACCAAATCCACCGCCACCTCCGCCACCACCACCGCCACCGCCACCACCATCATCATATCAGTATCACCAACGCCAGTTCTCACCACCACCTCCACCACCAGTTATTCGCCCACGACAGCCACCTCCCCCTCCTCCAGCCGCCTCCAGTCAGCCAAGTCTAGCGACTGTGTACACCAGTCAAGTGACAAGAAGTCAGATTGAGCAGTTCCAGCAACAGATGTACTCTGACGTTGACTATGTCATCTACCCAATGAAGGATCCAGCCATCAGTAAGCAGGAATACATGGATGCAAAACAGGGCTCTCTTATTGCACATGCTGCTGCCATGCGCTACCCTTGTCAACAGTTGGCATATCCGCCGCCTCCGTATCCTTCGTATTGTGCTGGACCCAAGAGCCACTTCATGTATCGCAGTACTCCTAATGTAGCAGTTGCCAGTGGGTATCTGCCTGTTCCATTTGGAAATTCTAGTATGCAGTCTGCCTCTGCTTCTCCAATTAAGTATGCATCCAATCAGAATTTGTCATCAGTGGAACCGTTAACTGGATATGCAAGTTTTTCACCTTCATCCTATCTTTCTGCTAGTCACTACTCCTCCCCTGCTTCCCCTCTGTACTCTGCTGGCACGTTATATGCGTCATCATCGAGGAGCCTGCGATATGAACCCGCAGTCCCGCCCTTGTCTTCCAGTGCTGCTGATCTGCTTCACTTAAGTGTGTCAAAGCTTCTCCCTTCTACGTCAAATCCCCCGCTTGGTGGATTTGGAAGAGCGCAGTCTGATGACAACATCCTTAACTCATATGAGAAGCCTAATAATAATGGGCAGTCCTTGTTGGAAAGACCCAAATACCGACGATTACCACCACCGCCACCTCCGCCGCCATACGATCAACAGGTAATCTTAACTACAATGCATATACAAAAATGATGTAACTTTCTGTTTTCCTTACATTGGAATTATAACAACAAATTTTATGATAATTCTGTATTGTGTGTCAAACTAGCTAAAGTTTTATAAAAGAAAATGTTTGAAACTTAAGATTCTGATATACTGTATAATGCAATTCAGTTTAATATAACATTATGAACATTTTGCAAGATATATTGATGAAAAAGTATAAGAATTACACAAGAAAGTTTATATTGCATATCTTTCCTTGGTTTTCTATAAACCTGATTCATTTTTTAAATAGATGGTAATATTAATTCTCTACACCCAGGATAATTGTTAATTAGAAATACCCAACATATACATTTCCTTTTTCCACTGAATACTCGTGTGCTTTTGAAGATTTCTGTCTTCTGGGTTGTTGCGCTGTGTAGTCTGGTCGATATTAACCAACGTTTCAGAAGTCATACTGCCTCCGTCATCAGGGCAATGAAATGTTGGTTAACATCGACCAGACTATACAGCGCAACAACCCAGAAGACAGAAATCTTCATACTCACCGCTGTGAAAACCTCAAATCTTACATCGTGTACTTTTGTCTTTAACAACCAACATGGTACTCCACAGGTGACTGAGAAAATCTCAACAAAACTTGAGCTTCTGAGTTGTTGCGCTGTGTAGTCTGGTCGATATTAACCAACGTTTCAGAAGTCATACTGCCTCCGTCATCAGGGCAATGAAATGTTGGTTAACATCGACCAGACTATACAGCGCAACAACCCAGAAGACAGAAATCTTCATACTCACCGCTGTGAAAACCTCAAATCTTACATCGTGTACTTTTGTCTTTAACAACCAACATGGTACTCCACAGGTGACTGAGAAAATCTCAACAAAACTTGAGCCTGCAATGTCTTTGGTATCTCCAAAGGTGCCTGCAGGTAATGATGATGGCGAAGGCATGCTGGATATACGGACGCTGAGAGAGAAGAGCAAAAATCTGGATTTGCCTCTCATATCTGCTCTCTGCAATGATCGTTCTCTTCTCAAACAGACAAATGCATTCGTTATGCCTCGACATCCTGGACCTGGAGGAAAACAAGGAAGAGGAGGACGACGATGCGAAAGACCTGTGTCGTGGCATGTTGAGACTGGATCCAGAGTTGGTTTATTGAGCCTGGAGGGGAAAACATCAGTTTCAGTTTCAGATAATACAGCAAATGTAGATAACAATAGTGGAACTAGTAAGCCACAGAGAACTACACTTTTGCCTTCCTTGTTGGCACACAAATCATTATCTTCATCAGGAAACAAACACTCTTCATATAGTAGCAGTAAACACAAGTATCCTGTGTCAGGTTTGTCTACCACTCAGATATCAAAGCCTCAGAGAAAAGTTTCTACAAGTACGCACATACATCCATCTCATCACCAGGACGTAATGAAAATGACACATGCCAACATAAACAGTTCCGCAACAGCGAAAAGTGGCCAGTCTGTGGTTAGCGTTAACAAATTAGGAGTGAGCACTAGCACGAACAAGCAACGGCATCGAGATGTCATCATACCGTGACAGAATTCTGTTCGCATGCCTGTGCCATATTATCACATAAATGCATATACAGCTCATTTGGAACACGTGGCTTGACCTTTTGAGGCGTAGATGCCTGTGAACAATGGTTTCATGCATTTCAGGCATCATGTCATTCCACGTGTACCATAATCGCGTAGTAGAGTTTTATAAAAATTGCTTGCTAGATTAACTGTTTATATTTTAAAAAGCTAGTGACGTGGAATTTGAAATTGGCAAAGATTTTTCAGTCTTCTTCATGTGTTATCTCATGGTAGCTTCATACAATATAGATAACACGAGCATTGCGCGCGTCATGGTCAGAGTTTTGAGATCTGATCCGTTCCGCGCTGTCGTGGGCAGTTGTGTGTGTTCGGTTAAATCATGTGAACAGTTACTAAAAAATATGATTGTGAATGGTGACAGTTTACAGATTTGCACATTTTTTGAGGCTATTATGGTACTAATTTAGCTCAGTTTGCATTTAATGCACTTTGACTCTTTGTTTTAAGTTTGATATCACTTTTATAACAAACCAATTAAGGGTTAACTAACTGTAGGATATGATTATATATAAATAAACATGACAGCAGTGTCATAATATGAAGCTTGACTGTAAACATATTATATAAAAGTATTACCAGTGAATATTAATAATTAAATAACACAGTTTTAAATATGCACTGTTTTGCTAATAGTTCCATGATTCTGTAATTTGAGAAATAATATTAGAAACATGCGACTGTTTGGTGCGTAGTTTAAATCAAGATGGTGTATGTCAAATTATCAGTAAAACATTCGGTAACGTCCAAAAAACTTTTGGTTTAGAAGGTAAATGATATCTTGCAAATAAAATTATAATTTCACAATAGAATAAATTGCATTATTAAGACATACATTGTCAGAAACAATAATAATGCATAAAATCGCAACAAAAGGATCTGTGAAATATGACGAGAACTGTGTTTTTAAAGAAAGGGATACCAAAAGGCTGAAAGCAGCACAAATGAAGTTTCTGTGATCTTTACTGGGAATTAAAGACTGGATCATGAATGAAAAACACACACAAATAATTTTTTAAAATGTCAGTGAAACTGAAAACTGCCAGACAAATTGACTACTCTGCGGACACTGAGCACAGACAAACAGAATTACGAAGTAGGCGCTGGAATACAAACTGCTGGGGCAAACGTGCATTGAGAGAAATACCTAATGTTTTCTGGGTGAAAATAGGATGACTCTGGAAAAATCTCAGTAGCCCCGAATCGCTACACATCTTCCATGGCCAAAATTAGAATTGCATGGGTTAGGTGTATGAAGTGGTATGGTAGTGTTACTTCAGTGAGGCCACTGTACAGCCTTAGTTGTTATTTTGGAGACTGATATTTTAATTAACGACTTTTAAAATTACTTCATTCGATATTTTACTGCAACAGAATGTGTGTGTTAGCTTCACTTCAGTAATATCCAGAAATGGTTTAGAACAGTTTTTCTGATGAGATATCAAAAGACGGAATTAAGTTCGTGGGATTATTTTAATGTCCAAAATGGTATAAAAATAACGTCCTCCATAGTTATGAAAGAATAACACAAAGTTATAAAATGTTATATAACATTAAAATAATACAAGTATAAAAATTTTTGTTTTGTAGCTCATAATTATGTGTTACAGTAGTCGTCTGGAAATGTATTTATTAAATTGTAGGAATTCCATTCGATAATACGTTCTTAAGATTAATTTAAAATGTAATATTAAAATTCCCAGTTACTTTCTCAGGCGCAGTCTTTGTGTTCCTTTGTTGCAGGCATATTAGGTACAGTAACCCACCGACATATCCAGCTGCCATTTATTAAAAGATATGTTATATATATATTTTCTTAGTAGAAGAATATTCTGCTGAATGTAAACTATTAGAACAATATGTGAAATATTTTGTCAGATTTATTTCTTAGTAAAGGCAAAATAATAGGAGATATAGAAAATTCTGTAAGGCAGTCTGCAAGTAATACTCTGAAACTTTATTATGGCACTATGTATATTAAACGAGAGTCACGCGTATATTTATTGTTTATTTGAATCTTGGAACTTTTCGGCCAGACCGCAAATGGTCTTCTTTTACTGTACCTGTAAAAAGAAGATCCCGTTCCAGACTTCCTTTTCAAGAACTGTTGGGAATTTATTTCTGAGTGACCCTGTTATTTTCTAAGGACCACATTATAACGTAATCATTCTCAGGGGGTGGATTAGCCTTTAAGGCACTATGGTGCTCACATACAGGCTGAAGTTTTGTGTAGTGTAAACACCTGGTGTATAAATTATGAAGTTAAAATACTGAATACGGTATCACAGAAGTAAATTTTTTAAACTGAAATCAAAAAAATATTTAAATTATTATTTATTGGATGTCACCTTAAAGAAACAAAAGAATGGTGTGTGACATTTTTGTAACTGGTATTTTGAGGGGGGAGAGGGGTGATTTAGGAAGTTGACAACTGCAGATACAGCCCTATCAGGTAGTAACTATTCATGCTGTTAGTATATGAGTAAATTTTATGCCAGCTAAGTGTTGTTATTTAGTAGAGTTTGAGTCGGAATTTCTTATATATCCTGGATACTATAATAGACAAAATAAATATATAATACAAATTTTGTATATAGAAGATAGAAGTATCAGAATTTATATGAACGAAATTTTGGCTCTTGATTTATTTCCATCATTTGTGCTGCTGATTTTGATATCGTATTAGTAAGCACTAGTTGCCTTTGTAGTACTGAAATCTGTCGGCATGCTTACATTTTTTATAATTGCTAAATGAATCAAAGATTGAATCCGAGGTACTTAGTTATAATTAGCACTCTTAGCTGTTTTAAACCCTTATGTGCCAATTAATGGAAACGCCATATGTTGAGACACTATTTGTATATTAATGACCCTCATTTATTAAATGCCTCAACTTTTATCTGAACTAACATGATCTGTTAAACCTGAAGCTTTGCAAGCTTCTGATTCTCAGGGTGCCATTTTCTGTTTCCCATAATCTTGGTTTAGAATATATAATGTAGTGTCAAATATGTATGTAAATCTTGTTTTTTTATGTTTTGTGTTATTTTTCCCCATTGTAAGAAATATCAATTGCTCAACTTTATATTTTTAATCGTAATTTTGCCGCTATACAGTTTTATCCATACAGACAATTAATGTGAAATAAGCTAGGTGTTAGTGCGTACTTAATTTTGTATGACGGTATGATATATCTGATCTGTTTCTGTTTTAAGAGGCATTAAGAAATGATTGTTAGTTATGTACCTTCCTATATAAAGTGTTCAGTTACTTATAAAAGATAAATTTCTTGTTGTCACAGCCTTGTAAAAATAACTATTAAACATCCCAAATTTTGTATCAACTATTTGATTTTGCGAGCACTTGGACCAAAAGAACTGTTATACAATATGATATTTATGAGAAAATATTAACTTTTTTTATCTTTTGATGCAGATTAATTACTGATACTTTGTGTTCACTAGTGCATGTCCAGTGTCTTAGTTATGTAATCATGTTTTTAATATTTCTTTTGTTATAATGTGTCTAAATGGGTCTAAGTGGAACAAGTTGCATGTGTAAGATACCTGTCATCTCACTGTACATACATTACCACATTCAACATTATTATCTACTTATTAAAAATATTTTAAAGAAGTGATTTTCTGTCTATATGAATGTTTCTTACAGGAATGTATGTAAAAATGTCAGAATTTTCAGTGGTCTCATAGAAGATTTTGCCTTCTAATGCAAACCGCTGATGGAAAGGTCTTCTTCGATGATGCACCATATAGTCTGGTGTAAGTTACCAGCGTTTCAGAGGCACTTCTTGATGGAGGCAGTATTATCTACACCAGTGGCCCCCAAACTTTTTGTGCCTATGGGCACATTTGAGAGTTTATGAGATCGTGGCGGGCACCAACCAATTAACAAAGCCATATTTTATTTTCTCTGGACAAATAAGATATAGGCACCAAATAATACGCAAAACAACACGACGTTTAATGATACGAGAAACCACGCGATCAAAAATACGTACTTTTATAAGTACAATTATTATTATTCAAGTGGGAAGTTAGTGTGATGTTTGGCACTGCATTTCATCGGCCAGTTTTTAAAATTTGGGAGTGTAGGATGATGTTGCTGCTCGCAAACAATCGTCAAGTCGAGATATGCGCTTTGATTTTATACTGTTCATGGTTGAACGGCCTTCATTATTCAGCATAACCTCTTTCTGTATCAACGCGGGCACCCAAAAGAAGCCTTGGCGGGTGCTTTGGCGCCTGTGAGCACCGCGTTGGGGACCACTGATCTACACCATCACTAAACCCTGTGCTGTGTCCCAAAGTTCAAGAGCGGATATTGGCCAAAATTTCCATCTGATGAATAGTATCTAAAATTTGGTTTTATGGCATAATAGCAATTCATGAATATCATATGGGTGTCTATAATTTAAACTCATTATCTCAAGCTGAGCATCTTTGAGTCCTCTCTGTAATTCAATTCTGAGAGCTATGTAGCCTATATAGATCATTTACTTACATAGAAATTCTCCTGATGATGGAGGCAGTATATTTATTTGAAATACTGGTAACATAGCTTTCTTTCACTTGATGCAGTATTCACATTTAATATTAATATAGTATAAAATTTACATATTTTAATTACGTAATTCTGAATGTAAATAAGGAAGACTAAGCAGGTTTATGAAAGTGCAGTAAACCCTCGGTATCTGTCGTTAATTGGTTTGTTATAATGACAAGTTTGTTCCAGGGAAATCATATAATTGAGCACCATATTTTGGGTAAATGAACATTTATACTAGTTCAGTAACAATTTATTAAGTAGATACATATTTTATATATATATATATATGCATAGAATTAAATGTTAAAAAAGTGTTTAATATTTTAATAATTTTATTACAGAAATTTTAAGTGCAGAATTTGAGGGCTGTGAATAATTCCATCTTTTTGAAAAAAGAATCTAAAGTTGGTTGGATTCTAACTTTCTTCATTTCAACAAGGACTTCCTTGTATCAGCGAAGATTAGCTTCCACATTTGTAATGACGTCCCATTTTCGAGCTTAATAATCATAAATTTTCAGTTTCATGTCTACAGTTTGGGCTGCTCTTGGCCTCGTAGCTTTCTTCATTGGCTGTGCAAACATGCCCTTTGATTTTAGCATAAAAATAAATACATAAGGAAACAGTCATCAATATACTACTGGCATCTGAAACAGTCGAAGTGCTGTTGGCAGAAATGCTTGTGGAGTGATATTTACTAATACCAGTGAATTGAAAACAACTGGAGGATGGACAGATAAAATGAAATAATTTATGGATTTATTGTAAATGATCCACAGCAAATGAAGAACAGCTTCAAATAAACTGTATGTATGCAAATGCAAGCAATGCAATGCAATCCTACTTATCTAACTTTATAATTATGAACTCTCCAGCAGACAATGTCAGAGCATGGAAAGTCAAGTAGCGTCCAACTCTCCCTTGCAGATCAGCCACAACTTCACCTCCATAATAAATAGAAGAGAGATCCTTTGTTTGCGTTTGACTGCCGAAGTTACTCACAACCACATATGAATGGCGGCGAGGGTAGGAACGTTCGACAGTCACGATGTTGTTATCCACTGTTCTAGAAACAATATGTAAGAAATATTTTGAAATATTGCGGTAAGTTTTAAAAGTAGCAAGCAATGGTTATAATTTCTGTGACGAGTATACTAATAAGACTGATGTTCTTGTAAAACTGGGTCTTTGATTTCTATATTTGTGTATATTTTTTTATATATATCATATATAAAATTATCCTGACTCGTGTATGTCATTAGGTGCACACTGATTTGAAAAGTAATGTGGATTATGTGAGCATACCTGATTTCATAGTTCGGTAATTTTTCATTATCTTTATAAACTCCATCCATATAAATGGATGGTGTATCTTCTCGGAGTTTGGAAATTGTCTGTACAATTGTTTCGTGCCCAGCTGCAACATTTGATGAGACGCTAGATAAAGGAAGCCACGGCAAAATATGTGGTAGAGTGAATCGAAGTTCTGGATGCTGGGCCGGCCATTGCAATGGTGACAAGTGATGAATATGCTTTAGGTCATTCATCTACAATAGATGAACAGTTAATATTAATATTTCCAGCACCAAATTTTCCGATAAACAAAGCATTATATTAGGAATAAAAGCTTTGGTGGAATGATACTGACGGAAAAACTGAAGAACCACAGATTCCAGGTCAACCTGCTATCCAGTAGGTACTGGAGGGCAATACCCCATATGTTTTCATGGTGTGCTTAATAAGTACCAGGGAAGACTTTACCCACAATTTTGACTAAGTATGTAAGATACTTGCCATAAAAATAATTTTATACTACCAAAATTTGTGAGCATTAAAAGATTTTCTGTTATTAAATAAAATCATCTTAGCTAAGTGAACATAACAGATTACCTCTCCCTCTGGATCTTTCAGCTCTTCAAGACCTACTTCATCCCCATAGAAAATGGATGGTGTGCCAGGAAGTATCATTTCAAGTGCAACTGCGGCAAGACTAGCATTTGCAGTGGGTAACTGCGATGCTAGTCGCTTCGTACCGATGCTACCCATATGCCAGTGAATCCACGGATAGCCTGGCTTGCTAAAAAGTATTCCTTTTACCACTTTGTCCACTTGAGTCTTTAAGCCTCGAGTTCCATTACTAACAATATCCAGTCTAACATCGATGAGATCTATATTTTGTAGAACTGCTTCAACTTTTCTGGAATCATCTTCAGGGTCTAGTGCATTTATAACATCCATACTACACATTACAATCTTCTCATGACCAAATCCTTTGTTAAAACTTTTAGTAATTCTTCTCCATTCTTGCATCAGTGATGCAAAGTTGGGCTCAGATACTAAACACTCCAAACCTTTTAAATAAATCCCATCTACTCCATTTGTTAACCAAAAGCTTATTGCATTAGTAACAATATTATCGTTGTGGATTTGCTTTGTGTTTATTCTGTTTGATGCTTCTACATTTATGTTCCTCCCCGTTTTATCTTCAGTCGTTGAATCCGTGTGAACAGGCCAACTGGTTTCTTTAACAGAAACGTCTGTTTCTGCCGGCACTTCCTTCTCAGTTAAGCGCAGTTGTTCTATAAATGGACTCAATGGAAAATCTAGCACAACAGAAATGTTATGTTTGTGCAACGTGTTAATAGCAAAATTAAAATCTTTCATATTTCCAAGGACAGGTGAAATCTCTGTCAAATTCTGAACGTCTTCATAACCCTCAGGATAATAATCTGCATGAAATATTGAGTTCAATCGCACAACTTTAACTCCCAAGGAAGTAAAATAAAATGCCTGTTTACCAAGGCCTCGGAGATCACCAATCCCATCTGAATTATCATCCTGAAATAAATTACAATTATCAGTAGCATAGCGACATAGACAAGAACTGGATTTTATAACCTTAATCCTTATCTAGACTCTGGAGCCTAAGTTTCAAAAGAAAATTAAAATTGTACTGGTTTCTAGCAGCAGGATAAAACTAAGTTCATGAAACTCCATCTGTTAGTTTAAAAATTATTTTACACGGAGAAGAGGGCGCAAAAACATGAGCGAGATGATTCTGTGTTATATTTTATTCTCGTATTTTTCAATTTCACTTCGTTCCTGAGAGTGAAATTATGCATTTGTGCAAATTAGACTTTGGATATCCTTAGTCAGTGAATATCGTAGCAGAAAGTTTGTTCAAAATTTATGATTTTCATATCAATAACTTGTGAGACTTAGCAGTCATAAACACCAGAATTCACATTTGGCACGTAAGTCAGTTACACATTTTATTTTACCTTGAAAGATGCAGGAAATACTTCATAAAATATAGTCCCTTGCCACCAAGCATGGTGCGGCTTGCAGTCTGTTGGAAGACGAGCTATTAATGTGATAACGATGCACACACATGCCATCAGCAGAGAAACAGCACTCCAGAAGCTGAATTTACGAATCAATGGCCAATTCCAGCTCATAAAGCAGAAGTCATCTGGCGATTTACGAACTGCAAGTTGCAGTCCTGTTAGAGGAGGCTTACCTCCGTTTTCCTAAAAATAAAGTTGGCATGATTTTCATTAAAAAATGTTAGTTGCTTTGCATGTATCTTACATAACTGGACTAGTGTCTGCTTTTGAGGTTATGGACCAATGTCACATTATTTTTGAGGTAATACGCTGAACATTTCAACAGTGAAAACTTTTTAAAAGATTTGTTGGGTTATGTTTCAGTTCTGAATGACCAGTAGTTTTAAAAGTTAACAATAATGCATGATATTCGTGAACTGACAGTTTCATAAAACATGAACCATTAAATGTCATAATGAGGAATTAATGATTCATGGGGAGGAAGTAACAAGAAACTAAAAATGTATTTATGGTTTACTTGTTAAACAGTTAATGTATTAGAAGCGTTTGATTACCTGGCATGCAAATGGGTCTACATCACTAGCTTTGGTTAGATGTTGGTAGTGATGTGAACTGAGCAGCTGTGCGCACACGGTGGGCTCCTGCATGACGGAACTACTTGAGGATGACGATTCCATCACACTCTGGACGCTTCTAGTTGGAATGAATTCCTGTTGTACCTCTAAAATCAAAAGACACTTCAATGTTAAAGGGTATTACGTGGCTATATTTGATACTTTCAAAAGACACTTCAATGTTAAAGGGTACTACAAACTACGTGGCTATATTTGATACTCTTGTGTGAACGATTCTTTATGTATCTCCTGGACTAAACTTTTGTTTAAAAGGGTCTCTCAGAATTATGATACTCGGCAGGGGCAAAAGATTTCATTATAAAATAACTGCAGCGGTGGGGATTTGGAGGTTATGTAAGGTTTTGGTCA